AAAACTCAGAAGCAAGCTGAAGACTGGGTTATTACTTTTGTGTTAGATTGAAAGTGCCCAGGAACCACTGAGACCTTTGTTTGGATTAGTTTCTGCATAATAACGGAGTTATGGCAGAACTGGAATGTTCAATCATAAATTTTCAGAATAACAGAAATGGAAATAGTAATAATAGTGTCTGGCCATGATAATATAGAATCACTGCGGTGTCTTCATCAGTTCCTAGAGCTTGGGGAGGAAACAGCAGGCAGGATTGTCTTGTGCGTCTATTGATGGAGAACTGCATGATTATGGTTTTTTTTGGAATAGAAAAGAGTCCCTTGATTTGCTTGATTATTTCCCAGATGCAGCTTAAAAAAGCAAATTTTCACAGTTACTTGCAAGTCGATCTTCTATGAGATATGTGTTCTATGTCACTTACAAGGTATTATATTCCTTCCATGTGTGTTGGTTTGTTTTGGGATTTTAGTGATATTAAGGTCAGACATTCAAATGCAGCCTTGGGAAAAACATATCCATCTTGTCTATATCTACTTATTTAAACAGAAAAAATAGCCATGCTTCAAACTATTTATAGGAGTCCCCAAAGACCTGTTTTTATGTACACATGTGGAAGGGCTCCATTATGAAACTTTAAAGCTTCTTAAAAACAGTATTCATAGGGGTACAGAAATCTGAAAGTTTAACTAAATTATGGATATAATAATAATGGAGTTAACTAAATGTTATAATTTAATTGAAAGGTCTAGGAAAAAAAAAGTGGCTTGATTAAATAACTTCTTATTCTCTCATTAAAAAATATGTACTGATTAAAATCCATGGCATTTTGGCCCTCTTGCATATACACTCTGGTGCCAGTTGTTTCTGCTTGGGTTGCTTTTGTCTTCTCTGCTTGAAAATACTTGATAGTTTCTGGCTGAGATATCGTATAATTATCTACCCTGAAGCCTTTAGAAATCTGACTTGGTTTTTGCTCTCAGATTCCTATGATCTATTGCTGACATTTCTTTCATACTGTTTCAAATAATGGCTTTTACATTATGTCATTTTTGTTGTGTTCTGTCAATGTACTGAAATGTAGCATAAAAGTATTTTTTTGAGTTGGTAGAATACTTAAAAAAAAATAAAATCATTTAATTGGAAAGCCACATAGCAACTCTGTGAGGTTTCAGGCAATATTTTATATTAATTATTCTGTGACCCAAATCCATTTATGTGCTCCATTGTGGATGACTGGCAGTTCTTAATTTAATTTATCCATCTTCTTTTACAAATTAGGATAAGCTACGGATTTTTTTTTTTTTTTTTTTGTCCTATAATATGTAATAAATATATCAAAGAATACAGAAGACAGCAAAGGTTATCAGATGCTAACGCTCTTGAGAATTTGGAGCATTGTTAGTGCTATCTAGAAAATGTTTATGGATGATGTTTTTGGAGAACAAAAAGAACAACCAATGCTCACCCCTCTTAACAACCTATTTGTTTTGAATTGAAATTTAAGGTGCTATGTGTTACATCAATATTTTTTTCTGAGTATGAAATATGATCTTGATTTCATTTAAAAAGCAAGTATTTTAAAATCATAATAGGGGAGTAGTTAACATAGTGTTTCTTGTAACAACAGTCATTATATGATGTGTGTATTTAGGTGCTTTTATCAACTTAGAATCTTTTCTAATGTCTGGTAATAAATCCAGTGGAACTTGAAGCCTATGTGAATAGCACTATTAACTGACGTATATATTAACCAAAGGTGGAGTTATTAACCACTCCTGTTTATTATCTGTGGAGGAATTAAGGATTCCTAGAGCATCAATCTAGTTCAGAGGCTTTTGTTTGCTCTTTTTTGTTTGACTCATTTCTATCATCAACCTTTCAAGCAAGAAAATGAGGACAGCAGTTCATTTAAGAAGGTAGCTTTGTTGTTGGACAGAAAATCACAGTAAGTGTCCTAGCCTTTTATCTCATTCTGCAATAACTCATATGTTTTCTGTGGTTATTTATGTGGATGAAGCCAATCTCTTGTTAAGTGAATGACTTACATAATGTGAGCCTATAGAAACTGGTAAATTTACTGACTCTTCTTCCAGTAACACGCTTTAGTGTTGTCAGAAGAAAACGTATATAGTCCATTGTCATCTTTTACAGTGTTCTAGAAAATGGATTTATTTTATACATTGTTGTCAATAAAATCTATTTTTGTATTTATCTATACATGAGTCACTCAGGAGCTTTTATTTCCTATTGCTGTTTTGTTCACTGTATATTCATCTTAAAACTCTGTGGATCTGCAATTTCGTTTGCATTTCTTTCACATTTTTTCTTACTGCCTATGTATTGAAATGTCACAGTGCAATTTTGTCTTAATATTTTGATTCTCTTCATCATAGCATAGTCACAAAAATTTGCAGAGACTTCTAGGATTATAAGAGAGAAAATGCTTCACTGGGATATGGCTGCCCTATAGGAGATTTTTTTTTCTCTCAATCACAAAACAGCAGTTTTGTTCTTGTGCTTTCCAGTCTTTTATCCAGGCTTTGCCTTTTAGGGAAATTCATCTCTATGCTGTCACTAGCATGCCTGTAACTGTAGTGTGAAAAGTCACTGTACCTGTTAATGTTTTCTAACAGCAAACAAGTAATTTATAAAAATGTCTGGAGACTGTAGAGAAACACTGACAGAAGGAAATGAGTTGCAGCTATGTTGCAGGGAGAAAGGTAGCAGTACAAGGTGCAAAGAAAGCATGAAGTTGAGCAAGCATGTACAGAAACACACTGGGTTAACATCCCTTAATACTATTTAAAGGAAGGAAAACAAAGTGCAGAAATACATGGCACAAACAAGGTAGTGATATCCTTTGGGCAAGAAGTAGCACATGGAAGAGCAAAGGACTTGCAGGAGAGAGTTAGATATGTGAGAAGTGGAAGGAAGCAAAAGGAAGTTGTGGTGAGAGTAGGTAGTTTTCTGTTGTAGGAGGGGAAGCAGAGACATCACACCCATGAAGAGACACTTGGGGAGAAATGAGCAGTTCAAGTGTGGCTGGAGGTGATCTCACGAGGAAAGTCCATGGGCCAAGAACAGGGTCAGTCCCCCAGCCCCCAGGACACACAGGGAACTGTTCAGCGCTCTGATGGTGGCTTAACTGAGAGTGCTTCATATATAGTTCATTGAATGGAATGGAATGGATGTACTAGAACTAGATCTATGTCAGAAAGTCTTATTAATTGAAAAACTAACAGAATACCTATTAAAATAGAGCTTATTTGTTTAACACTTCAGTCTTGAAGCTGCAGTACTGTATTTAGTTGTGAAGTCCCCAGTTCAAAAAAGACAAGAAACTACTGGAGAGAGTCCAACAGATGGCCACAAAGATTATGTGAGGCCTGAAGTATCTCCCTTATGAACAAAGGCTGAGAAACCTGGAGCTGTTCAGCCTGGAGAAGATAAGGCTGAGTGGGGATCACAGTAATGCTTATACGTACCTAAAGGGCAGATATCAGTAGCAGATGAGGCCAGGCTCTTTTTGGTGCTGTCCAGTGACAGGATAAGGGGCAACAGGCATGGGAAGTTTCATCAGAACATGAAAAAGAACTTCTGTACTGTGAGGTTGACAGAGCACTGGAAACAGACTGCCCAGAGAGTTTGTGGAGTGTCCTTTTGTGGAGGTATGCAAAACCCACCTGGACAGTTTCCTGTGCAACTTTCTTTAGGGCACTCGCTTTAGCAGGGGAGATTGGATTATCTTTAGGTGTCCCTTCCAACCCATAGGATTTTGTAATTTTGGGATTCTGTGTCTTGTGTTTTCTTTGGGAAGCAGTAGGTCTCACCTGCCTGTAGCGGTCATGCTGCCATTCCCTCCTATGCACTGCAGAGCACATCCTTGGACTGGTTGCGGTGCTTTTTCTGCCTTAGCCACTCCTGTGTGAAACCCAGGAGGTACTGACTTCCAGTTTTGTACAAGACCTTGCGAAATGCAGGAGCTGCCTGTTAATTTTTGCATAGCTATATTATTCACATAGTTTAGACTGTCTCTTAGCTTCTTAAAGGAAGATTGAGTAAGGCATAGCATTTAGTTTTCAAGGAACCATTTGGAGGAACAGTTAAATATTTTTTATATGTCGTGATTGTGCATTCCATGTAGTTTCACTTCTGTAGACATCAAAGTATTAAGTTCAAAGACTCAGGTGGAATGAGAGGCAGACATGCAGAGATCTGGAACTGAGACATAGGGAAATACCTGTGGCTCCTAAGAACTGACAGTTCTAGGCGTAAGTTTTTGGCCCAGTGTTAATGTTTACATGAACCAGTTTGCTGGTTAAAGAATAAAAAGAAAATAAATCACATTTATTTACTAAGAAGAAATGTGAAGATTCCTGTAGATTCTCCATATCAGCTGGTAAATTCAGGAGAAATATGCAATGCTGTGAGGATCAAAGAAAGCAGAAATAAACAATGAGAGTGTGTGTAGAGCTGGTTTCCTTACGGCTGTTGCTGCCCAGTGACAATGCAAAGAATAAAACTTGAGGTCATTATTCTGCACATTACTGTTACTGTAGTGCTGTGATTATTTATTTATTTATTTATCTATTTTTTTCTGTGTGCGTTGTATAAGCATGCAGTAAACTGCCAAAACTGATTGCAAGCTTGGGGACTCAAAAAGCTACACACCATTTTGTAATTCTGTATGTAAATGGGTATCTGTTATGCCATTATAGCATCAGGTACCAATAATACATTGAACGTAATAAACGAGCATCTGTTAGAGTGGCATGAGTTTTCCTGAGTCTGAAGTAGTAATAGTATTTTCTTAAGGAATCACTTTGGAAATGTGCAGGGAGTACAGTGATTACTAATCTGCTGCATATTTGAGAGGAAATAAACACATTCTCTTGTGAATAACATCATGAGCTGTTTTTTTAAACACTTTGTTTAAGTGTTATTATAGATAGTGAATTAGAATATGCAGAATAATATATCAATTCCTTCTCTTTTTACAGAGGGAAACGAAAGGTCAGTTTCTCATAGATCACATCTGCAACTATTACAGCTTGCTGGAAAAGGATTATTTTGGCATTCGATATGTTGACCCTGAGAAGCAGAGGGTAAGTATATGAATTCTGAGTACATTTGTTTTTAAGTAATGATAAATTATTATTTTTCTCAATAAACAGGAAAATTCTAATGCAAACGTGCCTCTGAGCGTAATCCATAGATGTTCCACAGAGTAGCATTATTTGATTAATTTTTCCATCACTTCATGTATTTAGTTTCAGTTTAATTGATATATTCTGATTTGTGTGATTCTTCTGAAGGTAGAAAAGATTATGGACGTGACTCAGAGGTAGCTCAAGATGGCTCTAGGCTATGGCAGTGGACTGGAATTTGGTATCTCTCTTATTTTGTCAAGTATTCTTGGGAGATGAAGGTAGGAATCTTGTTGACCTTAACAACCAGAAATAGTCATTCAATTCTACTTTTCACAGAATGGTCGGTGATTTGTCAGGTTGTGGGATGTTCTTCAGGTTAATTCCTCCTTTGATAAATCTTATATTTGCATAATAAAGTTTACTAGCCTCTTCTCTAGGCAGCTACATGGACACTGCAAAAGAAAATCATGATTTTGAAATGGTGAAATAAGTGATGACAATTTCCACAGTTTTGTATTTTGATAGTTGTGAGGTTAGCTTGCTCAAATAAATAAAAACAGCAAAAAGCCCAGTCCTGAGATTTCTGCGTATAGAGATAAGCTGCAGCAAGCAGTGAGTGTAGACAGTAAATATCTGTAAGTAGTATTCACCATATGCTTGTTTTAAACTAGAAGATAGATTTGGATTTCTTTTTAAGAGCTTATTTCTAAAGTTATGTCTGATGATTTGACTGAGAACAATTGCTTTGAAAGGAGGTGATAATTCATCCGAAAACACTTTAGGATAAATCATCCTAAGCTCAACTCCGAACTTGTAAGGAATTTACTGTTCCAGCTGGATGCACTTCAGCTGTTTGGCCCAATGGGATTCATCCAAGAATACTGAAAAAGCTGGTTCATGTCATAACAAAAGCTTTCTCAACTATTTTTCAATGGTGTTGGGAATCTGGAGAGGTCTTAGTCGACTGGAAGCTGGAAAGGATAATGGAAATTTTCAAGGAGGGAAAGAAGGAAGATCCTGGTAATTACAGACCTATCACAGTGAAGGTTATAAACTATCCCACTGTTATCAGAAGTAACTAATTTAAAGTTGCTAACCAAAATTAGAGTGCTGTGCAGTCACCAACTATGTGAAGTTTAAAAAGAACAAGTGCCAGCATCTGCACCAGGGACAGACAACCCTGGCTGCACATATGGACTGGGAGATGAGGTGCTGGAGAGCAGCCCTGTGGAAAGGGAATCTGGAGGCTCTAGCTGACAGCAAGCTGAAGTAGTAGTTAAAAGACACTTGGTTCTACTCCAGCTGTGCTCTTTGGATGTTCCTTTGGGGAATCTGTGCCTTAGGGTAGCCTGGGAAAAGCCAGATTATACTAAGTTTGCAGTAAATTGTAGTATGCCATTTTATGTTTAATTGCACTATAATGGGACCAGATGAGTTCTTAGTTCTGTTGAATTTTTAACCTATATTCCTGCAGAAACTAGGTATATAGAATCACCATACCTTTCTCCTGAGCTCTCACCTGTAATAACTTTTGATGCAGGTTTCAGTCAAATTTTGCTAAGGATATAGGTCTGAAGTATTTCCTTAAGATTTCACAAAGATGAGTTGCTACATTTTTAAGTAAAACCCTGTTACTCCTCTTATTAAGGGAAATGCTATGGGGCAAACCTACTGTATGGTGAATCTGAAGAGACTGGGAAGAGGGACAGTCTAGGAATCTAGTAACCTTCATTTGGGATTTGTATTTTTTTAGAAATAAGTGGAGACGTCACCTGGAGGAGGTGTTAATTCTGCTGCTCAAGGAACTATGTATTGATAGTTTTTCCATGCACTATCTATTGTACTGAGGCAAGTTATCTACTGCCACCCTTGAGAAAGTGCAGCATAGCTAATTCTGTTCCAAAGGTCCCAGGCTGACAGAGCACTTTTTTTTTTTTTTTTTTTTTTTTCCCCCACAATCTTTGGACTTTAATGGAAATACAATTAAGTAATGTAGCTACTGTTCAGCATCTCTCATTAGAAAGAGAATTCTTGGTGAAGGAGACCATTGATATTGAGAATAGTGGAGGACTGGGTTGAAGGAATAAGGCAGTATAATGAAATCTACTCTTTAAATTTCTTTGGGAGGGCACCTGAGCAGAGATTTAAAGTTGGAAATTCTAAAATTTAAATTTGTGGGTTTTTTTTTTCTTTCTTTTTTTTTTTTTTTTCCTCCCAATGGTGATTTGAGCACATGAGTGTGAATTTTTTTTTTTTTTTCCTAATTAGAACATATGTAATGGTAGATAGGTAAAAATGCCTTGCAATTAACAAAGGGGTATGTTGAAAGAATTGTGTGATATGCAAGGTACTTGTAGGTCTGTGAAGTATCCGTGAGGTCCCACCAGTTGCTGTAGAAATTTCTGAGAATATAATTACTCTGAAGCATCAACATACTTTCTCATTTGGATAGGCTGCTGGGCTATTTGGGAACAGCAATGTGTGCAGTACTAGTTCTGCACAGGTATGCCTGGCAGTATTAGAAAAAAGCTATTAACTCAGTGAAATTGCTGTATCAATACACTCCCAGTAACAGAGTGGATCCTCAGAGGTGGCTATGACTACACTGACATTTTCTGACATCTGCAGTGCATGGAGCCTGGCTCTTCATATTGTTAAAAAGAGAATAGTGGACACTACTGCCTTGCTGGTACACTGCCTGTAATTCCCATAAAGAACAGTCTCAAATCCAATCTCCATTTTGCTTTCAAGCTTAGAAGCACTGAAAGCTGATAGGCCCATCATAGGCAGATTTTCTAACAGATGACATGCTCATTTTGCTATAAGGCTGTTGGAGATCCCCTTTATAGTCTAGAATGCATCATATATAACAGACTTGGACAGAGTGTTTGTTTAACCTTACAGCCCAAATTGTTCAGCACTGTATTTAAAATAAAGGAAATTGGAGGCTTCTGTCCTACAGTAAGAGATTCCTTTACCATGATGTAGCAGTTCTGCTTTTAATGGGGCATGTACACAAAATATACAGCAGTGCCTCATCAAAGAGACCTTTTGAAGGAGTCAGCAAGTCTTGGGTACAGCTGATCTCTGCTTTAGCAGTAGCAGCTGTTTAATGTTCTTCAATGTGTGCACTTGTTTTCACGTGAAGGTGGTGAGCGTTGACTGAAAGAGACAACAGAAAATTTCCAACCTCAATTAATAAGGCTACATTTTTTTGTATTGGCTTGCAAGGTTCCGTGAAGCTTTAGGAAAGGAATGGTAGAATGACTGAGACATAGGTTAATTAAAATTTTAATGCTTCACTGTGTATATGAATCTGTCATCCTGTACAGAGTTATCACAAAAATTATGTGCTTTTGCATCAAGTGTTGATGTGGTACTGGTTGGTGCCTACAGGTAAGGTGATGCTGTTTCAAATAATATTGTAGAATTAGAAAAGAGAAGGCCAAAAGAATAACATAAAATAGGAATGGGTTTCATAAAAAAGATGTAACAGATTGAGTAGGAGATACAGTGTAAAATGGCTGGAAGAGAGTGATCAGGCAAAGATAGTTACGTAATTCTTGGAACTAAAGGCACTTAGCAAAATCATGAAGCAGCTGATGTACTGAAAGGCTACTTTTAAAATACTGTCCTCAGTCATAAATATGTTATTGTAAATGCCAAAATTATTTTAAAATGTTGAAAAATAAATATTTAGACATATTGCTGAAGTCTACAAAGACTAAGGAGGCATCTACAGAGCCTGAAGTGGGTGCTGCTAGAAGAAAAGACCAGTGACTAAGCCAGCAACTATTTTTGTTCTTTTTTTGGAATTTTTTTGGAAGTGTTTGCTTCCTTCAGGATAGAGTGGCTACCTTCAGGATAGAGTGCTGTGTTGAATAGGTACTTTTCTCAACCAGTGTAAGTGCATTTATGAATCCTAAACAAAAATTTGACACATCAATGGTGGTGTGAATATGTACTCACACTTAATTCAGCAATAATGCTACTAACTGATATATCTTTTGTGAAGACTAGTAACCTGATAAACTGAACCATTGGGCGGGCTGTTCTAATAAAAATAAAGATTTTTATTCCATCATCATAAAGCTGTTTGGATCATGAGAGTGTGGCAATTCAAGCATACATCAGTAAATGAAGATTTTAAAGACAGATATTCAACTAATGTAGAGGTTATTTGTCAGCTGAGCTGCTCCGACATACAATATTGGACAGTCTCTGAAAAAGTCAGTATAATTGCATATAATTACAGAATGACAGTCTGGAAAATTTTTTAATAAATTCCAGCTCATAATTGTACAAAAGGTGCTCCTGTTCTAGTAAGTGGTACTGTTTCTGATCTGTTGTTACTTCTTGCTTAGCGCACCACTGACCACAGTTGTCCTAATTTTGAGAAGAGTAGGGAAGAGCTGTTTCGCTGCAATAGAACAGTATCAGTATTCGTTTTTAGAGTCTCCTGAGGGCATAAAAAAAAAATGATGTCAGCCCTAAGGCATGAAGAAGGTGGCAAGCAGTCACCATGGGTCATTTGGCTGATATAAAATAAGCAGTCAATTAATTTCTTTGTCTGACAGCTGCCATTAGCTTTGGGTACTGTTACAATTTTTTTAAAAAGTTCAAATTTTATCAGGCAGTGACCTGGTGCAAGCTGCTGCCTTGAGGCTAAAGCAAGTTGATTTTGCTTTTGTTTTTTGTTAAAGGGAAGGGTAAGGCATTCATTCCAACAATTAATGTATGGCTGAGGTTTAAATAAAATAGTTTCGTTACTTTTCTAGCAGCAATTCCATGCATTTTTCCATATTCCTACCCTCTTTTATCCCTTGATGTCTTTAAAGCTAGTCCATTCTTGGCCAGAGTATTACCGCGATGCCTGCTGGTTCTTCTAATTGTTTAACCATAGGCATACCTGAGCCCTGTATAATTGCTTGCTGAAGAAAATTTAAATATTAATTACATTTCAGATGTTTTGGTAATCCCTTTTGTTACTGCTAATCTTGCAAACACATGGGTTAAATCAAAACCCTCTGCTGTTAAGGAAGAGGTAGACATTAATGAATTTGTTGGTCAGATCCCAACCATCTGGCTCAGTAATTATTTAGAATCTTAGCTTTGTTTTATGTCAAGCTTGTACTAGATTCCTCTGAAACAGGAAATGGAACACACATCTTTGCACTGTAGAGTTGCTGTCACAATGTGGAGGAAGAATGGTATTGGAATTATAATTTATGGCACCTGATGCCTTACAAGGCCTGTGAGAGCAAATACTGAACAACGTGTTCCTTCCTTCCCCCTTTTTCTTCTAAATGCCTTATTCCTGTGCTGTAGTGAAACCAAAATCAGTCTTGTCTTAGCTTTGCAGTAAATTACCTCATTTGAAGCAGCTTACTGGTTGCTGTATTTTTGCTAGAAGCACATTAGCATTTGCAGAGTTAAATCCGCTTACTAGAATGGAGCTTGTACCCTTGTGTGGTGTTCTTGCTCAGTGAAAACTCTTAGTACATCAGCTACTCAGCATTTGTAAGAGGCACACACCTGGCCTCACTAATGACTACTCAGTGCCACTTAAATTCTGTTCAGAGGTGAGGGTTGCATTTGCAAAGTAAAAATTACTCTAGTCTAAAACAGTTTGCAGTTGCAAGGAACCCTTAGTGGGAGAGCCTGCAGTTACTCAAGGACAGATGCAGAAAACAGTTTTAAGCATATTGTACAGCATCAAAGGTGTAATATTTTGCTTACTCATAGCTGGCACTTGAAGCATCAAGAGTAAGTTGCTATCTTTGTGATTGACCTTTAGTATCTCTAAATGACTTGCTCTCTGCCTTCTGCTTCTGCAAGGGCATCTGGCTGACCATCCAGATACCCAGCCCACATTCAAACTACTTTCAGCAGAAGAGGTTAGAAGTTAATGTTGGGTATGAATCTTGTAGCAAGCACTTTGGTAATAATAGGTGCTGGCTGGATTAGAATTAAAGTCTTCTATACTGGATGAGGATTGTGTTACTAGTGTGCCATCTGGGAAATGAGAGACTCAGCCACTGCAGGAATGCTTTCTATTCATTAAGATTGGAAAAGATAACTATGATTACCTTGTTGAATTGTCACCCATCACCAGCACGCCCATTAACTATGTCCCTAAAGGCCATGTCTACCCTGTTGAGAAGATGTAAACCATCTTCCAATTAAGAACCCTGTGTTGATGACAGTGTGAAATTTATGAGACAAATATGAAGCTGTCCTCCCCCCCCCCCCCGCCCAGATTTGCACATTTCTCTAGGAAAAAAAAAATAATCTTGTAATGGGTTCCAGATTTGAGGGTGGCTTAATTTGCTAATTTATTTTATTTCTCTTATCAGATGCCAGCTGTAAAGAAAGTTTGAAACACCTGTAGTCTGTTCCCGCAAGTGTGGTAGATGGTAGTGTTGAGACACTTCTGTAACTGAAGATCTAAAATGGTTTTAAAAAGTTGCTCAATAAGCTAACTGAAAAGGAAATGTTACATTTTCCCTTCAACTGTTGATTTTTTTCTTCTCCAGAAAAAAATGTAGAAAAAAATTTGGTAACAAAACATATTTTGCAATGAAAATGTTTTCCAATTGAAATCTGCTGCAACAAACCTTGAGTGAATTTATAGGATCCTTAATCTTGTCCTAGCTATAACATCTAATTAATCTCGGAATAAATATAGCATGAATATGGAAGAGATGAGGCACAATTTTTAATTATTAATTTTTAATTATTAATAGTTAACTTCTGTGAGACTTGAAGATAAATAATTGAGGGAAGATCTTTCCTACAACTAAAATTGAAATATGCAGACAAATATAGGGGTGAGTATTTTCAGAAGTGTTGATGAGGTGTTTATATTCCCCTGACAGTCAGATGGCACTAGACACCTAATTACTGTGTCTTTGAAAATCTCCAAAAATCATACAGTGACTTCTTAGTTTTCTGGAAGATTTGACTGATTTGCCTATATATTTCCATCAACAGAGGTCACTATGGAAATCTGAGCTTCTAAAAGCTTCCTGTCAGTTCCCTGACCTCCAAGTGAAAATTGAGACTGCTTCATTTTTCCATTTGCTCCATTTTTAACCCACAAAAGCCAGGCCTTAGCGAAACATCTGTTCAATTCTGGAAGTCTGGTGCATGAGGAATTTTTCTGTATTTGTACACCCTGTTTTATATGGTGCTCAAGGATATTTTCCAGTACTTGCTCCATTCAGTTCTTAAATTCCTTTATTAAATAAAAAGGATGAGTGCATTAATTATTTTCTCCAGCTTGCCCTTTCCCTTATTCATGAATTGTGAGGATTTCATATTTGCAATTTTATTTTATTTTATTTTTTTGTCTCTGCTTTTTATTAGAATAGGTAATTGACTTCATCAGATAGCCATAGGAGCTAATCTGTGTGCTGGTATTTCAGCTTGGCCTTTCAAAAGAAAATATCAAACAAAATGTGGCCTGCTCTTACTGGATGAAAATATTGAGAAGCCTTCTGATTCCCCACTCTCTGGGAACATTATGGGACTATTCCTTGTCCAAATTCTCTTTTCTATCTGAGTCTTCAGTGAGAACTGTCTGGATCCTGGTGATAGTGGGGTGGGCCTTTTGAATAGGTTAAGGAAAGTAAATTTGCATCTATGCATCTTAAGTGCTTTACTATCTGTTTGTTCTGATCTATGAAGTACTGTATCAAATTTCTTTAATTACCTTTTTAAGGACAACCATTACCTCCACACCATTCACTATTCTTCAGAGCAAGGTAAAGAAATAACACATCTGTGTGATCTGGAAAAGAGTCAGATGTGCTAGACATTTGATAAGTTGGTGATCCAGGCGTTATTCTCTCACTAATATTTCATTCCCTCACAGCAAAAAGAAATACACTGAGCAGAAGGGAGAGGAAGAAATTGTGTAAATTTTTTTTTGTTAGTTGGGGCTTGGGATGTGGGCTTTGTTTTGTTTTGTTTTGTTTTGTTTTGTTTTATGTTAGTACTAGGTTTCCGTATGTCTCACAGCTGTAAGAGAGTTTCAAACAGAAGTATGTAATAATGCTTATCTCCAAATCTTCCATATTGCTGTTAACTGTATGTGAATGTTTCTGAAAAGCCATAGAATTTGCCTTTAAAGGCATTTCAAATATTACACACAGTCATACAGTTACAAAGTTTTCTTCTTGAAGTAGGATTTAGAGCCAATGAAAAGGGTTAAAAATACAGCGCCCTCCCCCCCCACTCCCTGTGGTCTAAGGCCCTCCAGTGTTGATGCTGCTTACTAAAGCTGAATAGTACACTTTTTGACCAGCTGCTTCTGCAGCACAGATCTCATTTTAGTGTAGAGATTTTTTTGCTTACTGGAAAAATCCTTGTACAAATGCTTTTGGCTGTAGTCAGAAGTGGTACTTGAATATCAGCATGTTCTTTTGTCAATCAAGACATCCTCCTGAACAGTTCAGCTAGTGCGAGCAGGAGATGTGGTAAGGCTCTTAACTGAAATGTGAGCCTACTTTTACGTCACCAAAGCATTTGGGTTTATTTTCCAGGAGAGTGAAAACTGAAAGTTTTCTTTCCATTACAGTCCTTCCCCTCAAAGTTAGAAACTTAGATAGGCATTCTTACCTCTCTGTTGTGCTTTCACTGTCCACAATGTAAGCATTTTGTGGAAAATACAACTTTTGGATAGAATGAAGTGTGCCTTTCAAATTTTCAATTCTTCCTAGAAAAGAACAACAGTTTGTATTCTGAGAATATTGACTGAAATATATTATTTATACATTCTTTAGTTACATAGGGTCTGTAGAAGACAGCAGTAATGAACAGGAAATGTTTATGTTTCTGAACAGTTTATACAGTGCAATTACAGTATAATAGCAGCATGCAGTTGGCTTTACCTTGTGCCTGGTAAAAGAAAAAATGCTACTTCTCATTTTTTATGCCACATATGTCTTCAAGGATTTTGTTGCCTCCTATGATCTGTATTAATCTCTGATCTCCGCTTTGCCTTTCCAGCACTGGCTTGAGCCCAATAAGTCCATCTTCAAGCAAATGAAATGTAAGTGTTGAGAGCTCGTGTTTTTAATGTGGTTTTGAAGTGCTCAAAGTCTTTTCTGTGCTTCTGTGCAATATTTTAGAGTGCACTTTATTTATTTCCTGTTGGAGAGAGGCCTTTCATGGTCTATCCAGAATCTCTGTAAAACCTTATTTCACTGTTTTTTCACAACTCTGCACACCCAGAGCTTTACCTTATTGTGCAAGGTAGGAGCCAGAGGCCAGCTGACATTTGTGGAGTGGCAGATCTGGTGAGGAAAAGACTTGTATCCTGTGGCTCTCTATTTCAGTCAGCTTAGTCAAGCACTGGGAGGCGGCAATGAAGTATGGAGTGTGACAATCTACTGTGATCACTGTTTTGTTATTGTTGTTGTTTATTTGCTCATTTGCTTGCTTTCCACAGCTCAGTGCTTCCTGCCAATGCAGAGCATTAGTTTAAGATCATTGTTGCAGACAAATAAATTTAAGTGCTAGGTAGCTGTGAATTACTGCGATAGACAAGGAGAAAATTACAACCTTTTTTTTTTTTAAATAAAACAGAAATGCATCATTTGAACTGTCTGTTTGAAATGTTATGATCTGGCTCATGCTTTCCGTTAAATGGTCCAACTGTGAAGACCTTGTCATTAAACAGAGGTACTTCAATAGTCAGAACTACAGCAGAATACATCCAGCAGCAAAAGAAGCTGTTTATTTGACTGTTGCTGGAGACTTGATTTAGGGCTCTGTTCAATAAAAGTTGTTTATCAACGTAGATTCTGAAATGAAGGCAGGTTTTACTCATAAAACCTCTTTGTAGGCAATTACTTTGTTTTTAAAGTATGAATACAAGGAATATTCTATCTGGGAGACTGCTTATTTTAAAATGAGATGAATCTAAAGAGATTGTCAAATATGTAAAAACAAATAAAAACACCTGGGTGGAGGATGGATGGAATTATCCCATTAGTGCTACAATTGTATATATTGCAAGATGTGCATACATACGCATATTCATGGGTACTAGCTTATTCACTGTGTTACTGGCTTATTCCATGTGTTATGGTTCATGTGTTTAGTGTATGATGTTTTAGGTAGCAAGAGTGCTGTGCTTTTATAGCATAGCAACATGTTCAGGAGCTCTGCCAACAGATGCACTGAGAGTGTTGTGATTGATGGTAGTTAATAAATTCCATAGATGTTGTGATGTGATGGACTTATCAGAGGGCCTGTGTGGCTTTTGTGGTAGAATCCTAATCAAAACTCTGAGGACTGAAAGCAAAATGTTAAATGAAGTGAAATAGTTGCAGCTAGTATGAGGTTATTTATCACTGTGGAAAGTCTAAGTCTCAAGAACAACAACAAAAAGAATTAGAGACCAACAGAGGTGTTTTGTTATCATCCTAAGATTTGGGAAATAAATAGAATTAAATGTGCAGTTGGCTTTTTGTGAGCAACTTTCATTTTAATACTAGTGTAGCTTAATTTTATTTTTTGTTATAGATGAAGGACTTTAGTTTCTACATTAGTGCCTTAAGGAAACAAAACAAGTATATATACATCTTATATACATGTGTACATAGAATCCATGTATATTATGGATAAATATATATATCTCTTTTACAGGTTTCAAGAATGTTTTTGTACATGAGGAAGCTCATTTTTCTAAAAATATTACTGTATTAGTACAGAATACTGAACAATTTCTAAAGGCACACAAAGTTAACTTGTATTTTGTTTAAAAATATTCAGTTTACTATGAAAATACTTAGACTCAGAAGCTAGTTTATAGATCACCAGTATTAATTTAAAAAGTGTCACAGTCTCAGGTGACTCAAGTGAGGATTGAAATTAGTAGCAGGGAAAGCATGAGAACTGAAATGATGAAGGGACGGTAAAAGAACATGCATTATGTATATCTGACTTTTGGGAGAAGTGGTTGCAGAATGCTGTTCAAAATGAGTATGTTGGATGGAGGTTTCCTTTTCTTTCTTTCCATCAAGGAATTCAGAAAACAGTGAAATGATGGGTTTTGTAAGAACAGCTTTTCCACATGAGAACAGCTAAATGAAGAGCAGTCTTTATTTAATACTAATGATTTAAAATATTCTATATTCAGCTGAATACTTGGATTTGCATATGGTTGCAAGGTATTTGGATACATGCAGCAAAAACAGAGAAATGCTGCATGTTTGATCTCAGCTACCATTTGTGGGAGACTTCATTTTCCCCTGCACAGTAACAAGTTTTTCAGTGTATGGCTCTATCATAGCTGTGATGCTTAAATTGTAAGTCTGTTTCTCAACCATATTTACTACTACTTTTCTTGAGAGGGAAATTTATTCTCTGAGAAGTGTCTTGAATGTCAGTTTTGTTTGTACTGGTTACAGCACATTGTTTGCCACCTGTAAGTGACAGTGATACTGCTGACAATCTGTTTAACAAGTCTTTATGAGGTTGCATAAGACAGTTATGTCTCTGTGGTTCTAGGTAAAGCCCTTTTTAATCCAGTTTTTATGTTCTTTTGTGTGTTTTATTTTTTACTGTTTTTCTCTCCCAGATGCTGGCAGTAAAGTTCTTCTGTTTTGCCAGCTTCTAATGTTTTTATACTTATTTTATATCTAGAAGAGTCCCAGTGTAAGTTTTATTGGTCACTTGAGCACTAATATTCACAAAGAACAGTTTTGTCATCCACTCTATTCTACCTCTTTTGCCCTATTCATTTTTAAGGTTATTTGTATAACAAGTATGTAACTATCCTGTAACCACTTTCATGAGAAATGGCTAACTGTGTGGGTTTTGTTCTTGATGACAGTGGAAAAAAATCAGTCTTGCTTTTCTGTATTCAAAATACATGTTTTTCCTACTGTTTTACATCTCAGATGATCTGAGAGAGTAGTGCAGAAAAGATGTTCTACTGTATCATGCCATTGGAGTGTGCTAAGAGACTTTAATTTCCTTCAACTCTAATGCTATTGTTAAATGGGCAAATAGCTGAAATGAACTGGAGGAAACAAGAATGCAGGTGTAGAAATGAACTGCTGAAATCTTTCTTACAGATTCTTAAACTAATTTCCCATGGATTTTTCCATGCCTCAGTACAAATCTGGAAAAAAAAAAAAGAATTTAACCAAATATGAGATTTGTAAATACATGTGCATTGAAAGAAGGAAGTTTCAAGTGATTCTTTGGGCACGAGCCTGAGTGCCCTATGTTTTTTATCTTTGACTCCATGAGGAATTAATAACAGAATTTGAAGAATTATGGTAATTGGCTGATGAAAATCCTTCTTGCCTGGTGTTCTACCACAGCTAATTAAATGTGACGCGGAAGACTCCACAGTTGGAAGTCTATGACAGATTAGCAATCTCTCATACATAAAATAAAACCACTGAGTAGTGGTGTGCCTTAAACATGCTCAGGCAGTTATGTGGATAAACATCTGATTTACTTAGTAAGAAAACAGATATATGGAATCTGCAGCATACGTAGCATATGTCCTATGGTTCTCCAGAGGTCCTTTTGTAGTGATAGTTAACATGAAGGTAGCTGGAGTATATATAAATATATATTGTACAATGAGCGCTAAATGCTGGTGAGATAATGTCATTCAGAGAATCTACAACAGCAAAGGGAGATAGAGGAAGTTTTATGCCATGTTGTATCCACAAGGTTATGAAGGTAACTTAAACATGTGTTTTTGGTACCTGTGTAAACTCTGTGTTTAATAGAAAAAAAAAAAAAAAAAGAAATACTGCCAAGATAGATCTCTGCTGAGGTTAGTATTTATGCTGGTTGAAAAGCATGTTGTTGAAAAAGAAGAGGAATCAAACACTTATAGAACTTATATCAAGTTTTTCACTGTATTTTTTAAATTTTTGTTTGTTTGTTTGTTATTCAGATTTTCTGCCAATAAAGGAAATGATAATATAAATGTGTAATTTTTCTTAGGCTTATCATTCCTGTGAGCTCTTTGTATATAAAGCCAAATTAAGAGATATAGGAGGCCTTGCTTAAAAATAGATGCACTGAGTTCCATGTCCCACCTCCTTCTTTGTTTCAGTCAGGGTATTGGAGGTTTGGTTTTCAACTAAGAGCTCCTTACTGTTTGATGCATATTGGATAGTTTCTCTTAGTTAAAGGCAATCAAAATCTTAAAACTTAAAATCTGTTACCACAAAAAACTTCGCATGCTGTGTGTGCAAGCTCTTTCATGGGGGTCTAGGTCAAGCAGTGGAAGGTTTCAGCATTTGACATAATTAAAGTAAGTTTTATTCTTTTTGGCCATCATCTTTTATGTACTGTTAACACGTAATCAGCCAAATTAATAGTCCTATTGCAACAGATTTTACAGTCAGTACTATTCTAAGTGATAAAATCCTTCAAAATGATTTTAACTGTGAATCTTTTTTAGTAAGAAAGGAAAGTTTGCAGTGGTAGGATGTTTTGAAAAACCCTTGGGCATTTCCCTACACTAGCTGCTCCATATCTGATAAAGGACCCATTGGAGAGAAAAGGGTCTAGAGCTATTATAACCCCGATTTTATTCAGACATTCAGTGTTGAAGAGAAGTTCTGAAAATTGAGTTCTGTTTTGGGAAGGTTTGTTGTTGTTACTGCATCCACTTGAGTAAAAGTGAGAAAGTAATTTTAATTTCAAGGAACTGAGGAATTGCTGGATTTGACAATCTCATTTTCTGAGCTGATACAATCCACTGACTATCTGGCTTTTCAGGGCAATATATAGAATGATGGAATGTGAGGTTCTCTTTTGCGTTTCTCCACTGCTGTAAAATCTGTAAGACAAAGGCCTTTATAAATGTTTGTATATCTCTGTTTTGGTTTTTGTAGGAATATTATGATTATGGTATATTTTAAACTCACGTTGGAGAAGAAAGTGTTGTACAAGATTTCTCCCTCCCTCTTGCCTCAAATGTTTGTTGTGGCTTATTTTCTAATTGAGAAAAAGGGCCTGGAAAAGAAAATCCTCTTTTCTTCTGTAGGTGAAGGTGCCCTGTAACACTTCTAGAGCTTAAAGGAATGCATGGTGTCATATTCTTTCTAGTATTTCAAATTGCAATTTGGGATCGTGCTGTTTGTGTGTGTTGCAGAAAAAGTACATCTATTTAGCAGGCAGCTGGGGCCTTGTTTTGTATTATTTGCTGCTCCCCTGAGGAGGAGTCTAGGAAAAGGCTTCAAGTTGGCTTCAAACTACCTTGCCCAGTCTCCTGTGCATTCTGAGTGTTTAAATATACTTTCACTGAATGCTGCTGTGCTAGAGGGGCAATATTTCTGTTATAAACTTAGCTATTGACTGGTTGTGAGCTTTCTTTGGTCTGATACTATTTTGCACAGGGAAGAGTCATTATTGCTTTTCTGCTGCTGCCACAAATTACCAAGGGCTTAGTTCTTCTGCCATTAACTTTCTTTGCTTTTTCACAGTCGAAGTTTCATGTCACTTCACTGACATAAAAATTTTGCTCAAATTTTTAGGGTCTTTTGTAGGCTTTTACTAACTAGATTCTTTCTGCATCCCCATTTCAAGCAGAAACAAATTCTATATCTATCAGGACATTTGAGTATTTTTCTTACTGAGGAGTGTTTCTTAACCATTTAATACAAGCTATCTCTTCTGTCAAGTTTTCCAAGTGGAAGCACATTCTGAAAGTGCAAAATGTTGTCCCTTGCTTAGTTGTAAGAATCCTATTAAGAAGAGATAGACCATTTAAAATGAAAAACATTATCTTTCACTTTGTCCAGGTAATGTGACTCCTTCATTTTCCTTCATGGGACACTGAGTTTAGTTTGAGTTTAGTTGTCCTTCCTGCCCTGTAGGCAGGGCATAGCAATGTTGGATGTTTTACAGAAAATTTTCAATTCCTTTAAGATAATAATGACATCACATATAAGATGAAAAAGCCCACAGAAGCCTTCATCCCTATGATCTCTCATGAGGTAACCTGTAGATTTGCCAGTTACCATGACTTGCGTGATAGTGCAGTAGTTTTCTCTCCACATCATTTACTTTTTGAATTTGCAGGATTTTCCTTCTTATTTCAACAGAAATCTGAAAAAAACCACAAATGTTATCAGGCTACAGATAGTTCTAAGTGCTATCCCTACCATACCTGATACATTTTTAAGCCCTCAATGTGGTTTTCACACTTATTTTTTTCCTAACATGATATTTGAAAGATGTCTCTTTCATTAGAATAATGGTGTTTTATTTGCTTTCAGCTCCTTTTGTAATCACCAAATGATTACTAGCTTTGGGTTAGATGGTATCTTGAATGCTATCAGAGATACAACAGTAGGATATAAAGCTCTGTTCATTAATGTAGAGCAGAGAGACACAGATTGCTTACGTTAAATCTTTTCTGTAACTGTAATTTTCTTCCTTTCTTTTTTCCTTTTCCTTTCTCTCTCTCTTTCTTTCTCTCTCTTTTTCTTTCTTTCTTTCTTTCTTTCTTTCTTTCTTTCTTTCTTTCTTTCTTTCTTTCTTTCTTTCTTTCTTTCTTTCTTTCTTTCTTTCTTTCTTTCTTTCTTTCTTTCTTTCTTTCTTTCTTTCTTTCTTTCTTTCTTTCTTTCTTTCTCTCTCTCTCTCTCTCTCTCTCTCTTTCTCTCTTTCTCTCTCTCTCTCTCTCTCTTTCTCTCTTTCTCTTTTTTCCCTCCTTCTCTTTCTTACTGTTTCTCCCTCCCTCCCTTTCTCCCTCTCTCCCTTTCTTTCTCTCTGCCTTTCTCTCTAAGCGTATTAAATGTATTTAAGGCCTGTGGCTGATGTGATAGAAGTAGATAATGGGGTCTTATTAAGTACTGAAAACAAAAACAATTCTTTCTCTAACTTCCTTAGCTAAAGTTAATTAATGTTTCTTTCTATTTTTGTTATCTTAGCATTATCATTACCAGAAATAACAATTATTCATAACATCTTCATACCTTACTGTAACTAGATAAAAATTCTTCCTGTTCATAAATTGCCAAAATAAAAAAAAAAAGAAAAAGAAAAATAAGGAGAAGTTCGATTTTTTTTTTTTTTTTTTTTTTGGTACTGCTTGTCAAGTGCAAAACCATGTATAAATTGATTTGCGTAGATTGCTTGCATTTTGCACATCCTTTTGTCTTTGTCATTTACTTTGTTCTTTTAATGTGCATTTATTTTATTTTATTTTATTTTTTTTTAATTCCCTGCTTGATTCTTCAGAGCTAACCTTCATACAGGCTTCTTTGTAGGACTCTTGGAGGACACTTCTTCAGAGCGGCTAAGGCAATGTTATTTGCTACTGTTCTCATGCTTTTTCTTTATGATTTTTCAGCTCATCCACCATATACCATGTGCTTTAGAGTGAAATTCTACCCTCATGAACCCTTGAAGATTAAAGAAGAGCTCACCAGGTATTATTTTTTCTGTGCATTTAATGTGAATTCTTTTACAAGTTCAAACTAAGACAGCTTGGGTAGACTGGGGTTCTCATTGTGCTGAAATGCACTGTTTGCACTATTGGTAATCTTTTTTTTATTTATTGTATACCTGGGGACTTTTAAAAGTAGCTTAAAGGGACTTTTCCTAACATACAGAGAAGTAGTGATGCTGGTAAAGGATTTTCTGAAAGAGAAGCAGTGATCAGTGGTTGGCAAATATTACGCTAATTTCTGCATGGAAGGATTTTGGACTGGAATAAGTTTCGTTTTGTTTCTTAGGTTTTCTTTTGTATGTGTCTGAAACAAGCTGTGAGTTTAATTCAATAACATTTCTCTCTCAACAGGAACTTTGAAACTTTTTCTGTTTTTTTTTTTTTCCATTTGAAGTGTCTGTTCATTAGAACCAAAAACCCTTTAGTATTTTTAAACTGTGAACCAACATTCTTTAGAAAACTGATGTAGAATTGAAAAATATTTGCAGTTTTAATGTATAGCTATGTTAGAAGTTTTGTTGCGTATATAGAATTTTCCAATGCTTTGGAGATACACCCGTGCAACAATTCAACTGCACTTACTGAATGGGATTTCTGTCCTTTCTTCTAGCCTTAGTAAATATTCCGTGACTCTGCATATTTTTCAAGAAAGTTATTGAGGAAAAGAGGTGGCAGCTTTTTTGACCTCTGCATCAGCTGTGCAGGACTGTATGTCTCCCTTATCATGTTGATAGTTAGCAGGTCGCACCGCTAACTAGTGTGTGTTATAGAAGTACAGAGCAATGAAGCACTTGTTGTTTTGGGATTTCCACTCACACTTTCGCCAACGCTTGCAAATTCTTGTGTTCACAAGTCACTTTGTGAATAGCAGTGAACCCATTATCCTTGATCTTGCAGTTAAAGTTTCAGGAACAGCTTGCATTCTCCTGAATAGTAAATTTACAATTTGTATAGAGCAGCTGGAACATCCTGTTCATATTACAACTATTTATCTCGAATCACATTTAGCTGAGGGAACAGGTTGTAAACCAGGAAGTCAAGGAATTTTCAATATTTGTTAATGTTTGCCCTTGAATGAATATTTTACTTTTCATGAAACATAGTTTACACTTTCTAGGACTTGGATGCTCTCTCAGGAGAAGTTTCATCAAAACACAAAGCACCTTGAATTAGCTCACTGATGTATATTGTGCTGTCAGTATGTTTTAGTCTTTGCTAGAATAGTTTAAAAACCAATTTGAAGTCAATATGTTGTTTGAAAAATGTTTTTTGATCTTTTGTTAGAGTATTACTAATGAGGTACTAGATTGTCTTAAAATAGAGAAATAATCTTTTTTTTGTATATTCTCCTACTGCGCATGATGCATTTGTGTATCTGATCAGCTTTCTAGTTTCCTGCTGTTGCTGTTTAGAAAGTTTTGTTTGTTATCTGCCCAGGTCTCTTACACAATAAGAAGGTATGAAAGTGCTCATGAAATCTGCAAGTAAAGTGCAAAGTCTTGTAAGTTAGCACTGAGAGTCTGCTTCATTGATTAAAGGAGGAGGTCAAATTCAAGATAATGCTCTAAATTGATTGGAGTTTTTGGTTTTTTTTCTTCTTCTTAATTACAATGACAAGTGAAATACAAGAAGAAGAATGCCAATTAATATTTGACAGAGGGCAATTATGAAACCTGAATGGCTGATGATCTGTTCAGTATGTTTTTTTGTGGCAGGGGTTGTTTGTAATTTTATGACCTCTGCCCTTATCACTTGTTCTTTGCAGCATGTGCTTAAGATGATCTGAAAATAAATTAGTAATATTGCCACTCCTTGACTTAAAAGCTGCTGAACTTCATAACTGTATTTATGGTCAGATGAGTCACAGTAAAATTGTGCATTTACATTTCTCTTTCTGTACATGCGTAAATGTACCACAGAGCAGTTCTCTTGCTTCAGAAATCTGATGGGTGCCACAGTCCCCACTTAGGTGAAGAAATTAAAAGACAGTGGGACTTATCCTATTACATTTTCATATTACTGTTTTATCCAGAATATTAATTAACCATTTCTAAATACCCCAAGTAAATTGTTGTCAATATATTCTTTGCAAAAGCCATATATGGGTAAATCTTCAATGAAGAATCTTAGAGACATCAGGGAGATGTACAGCAGGTTAAAAGAGCTGTATTTGATATAAAAATCATATATTTGGCACATGAAATTGTGTGTATGGAATAAAGTGTATAATTTCTGTGAAGACAGTATGAAGTAAAGAGTTTCAGACATTTCTAGTGCAAAGAAAATTGAATATTCTCCTCCTTGGATTACTGCTGCTTCATTTCTCACCTGCCTTGGCTAGGATGGATTGTAATCCTTGAGGTATTCTGTTGTTTTACTGCTCTGTAGGAGATGTTTTTAGAAAATTAACCTAGCTGAAGTCACTTCTCTGTCTATAATATATGGGAAAAAAAGCTGGAAGAACCTGGAAGTATGTGCACCACATATTTGGAGACAGGGAATGCCCCGGGAAAAGCACTGAACCATGCAGTTGTCTGTCATTACATTTAGTTCCACTGTTCAGGACATGTGTGAATACTGTTAGTCACATTATACCATTCTACTTGCTTTCTTTCATCTTCCCTCTTTTTAATTAATGATAACTTCCATGCTTTTGGAATAAAATCAATGTGTGCTGCAGGATGTTAAAGCACTTTGAGATAAAGCCGTGCTAAATAAGAAATTCTGTGAACTTGGAATAAAGTTTCAACGTATTCCTGGACACTGAGGTTCTGTGTGGTCCTTGATCACTGTGTACTCTGCAGTTGGTTAATGCCACAATTGAGTGTGTCTCTGAAATTAATTTCAGTTGCACTGGAGGCTTAGCAGATTGCAATGCAAACAGCGAATGTAGGTTTTTGAATAGTTTGTGTAACCTTTTAAATAGAAATACTTGAGTGATAAATATTATATATACATATCTATCATCACCATACATAGTGATATGAGTGGGGGGGGTCTCTGCATTATGGACAATCTTTCTGAGTTTGACTTCTGTCTCAGGTAGTATCTAGTGACCTCAGACTTTTCTGAATGATAAATCCGTAGTTTTCTTACAGATGATCTGACAGTATTATGGACAATATGGACTCAGATCAAAACACCTCAGTTTTTGAAAATAACATTTAACTGACTTCACTTAATATCCCTAACTGAGATTAATAGCTACAGTTTTTTTAATTAGGCAATAGCAGTATAATAAGCAGTATAATATAAGTATATAAGCAGTATAAGAAGGGTCTCACATCTTGCTTGTTTCCTGCCACACATACCCGTAAAACATAGGTTCTATTTCTTTCTCATTAAATCAGCATCTACTCTGCAACCTGTTTTCTGACTTACTCTCCACGGGGCTGGGTGGACTTGATACTTAGACTTGTAGTATTGCTAATTTTCTTTACTCTTTATTTTGCATCTTTTTATCTTTTACTGCACTGCATGTCGGTTGTTTTTGCATACAGCAAGAGAATCTTCATGGAGAGAGCATACAGGGTTCACCGTAAGGGTTAAGATTATTCTTCTGGCTTGACATGCAAAAATGTAAAATTGCTGTGAAAGGAAGTTGTAACTACAAAGGCCATTCAATCTGCTGTACAAACAGCATCCCAGTGCTCCTTCTGTAAAGCGCAGATGTTTTTGCTCTGTGCCACTCTTCACTATTCTTTGATCACAGGTCAGAGCCTTGGGAGGGTCCACAGCTGTGTAAGCATGAGATGTTGCACGTGAACAGATTGCGAACACACAAGGGAGCGTGAACAGATGGGTCCCAGGACCCATTGCACATGGGCGCAGATTTTTATTGTTTACTTCTTTTCAGTGTTCTTGTTTAGATAATAAATAAATCAGTGTTTTTTCTTTCTTATGTAATAAAGTAGCCCAAGGACTCATGCCTTGTTATCTGTAAATCCTTACATTATACTGTGTATGCATAATTAAAATGAGAAAATATGAAGTCATCTGAGGTCCCAAGGGATTGATCTAAAATGCTGCAGATAATACGGTATCAACAATAATCCATGATTATTGTAGAAAAAACGGGTCATGGGTTAGTAGCTCGTGGAATTAACCAAAGATGGATTATTGCTACTAGCTGTCATCAGGCACTTTTTTCCTAATCCATGCTTCCTAATCCAAGCAGTTCTTCAATCACTAGGCTGTCATAAAACAGTGTTATAGGTACTTGGTAGAAGAGAAGCAGATGAAAAATGCTTTACTGGAAATCATATAAAATAGCAAAGACTGTGGGGATGTAAACATGGCAAATTAAAGAGCCCTGAGTGAGCTGGTCTAACTGAGGAAGAACAGTACTGCTGCATGCATGCAGGGCTTACCTAGCCCTGCTGCAATCAGCTATACTTGATGCTGCTTTTTGCTGGAAAAGCCTGGCACATTTCCCTCCAAAAGTGGCCATTAATGCTTCTGTGGTATTTGAGTATCAAACTACATATTTGCAAGATTAAAGTCTTGCAATAAACTAATCCTTCAAAAAATGAGCTAATATTGGGTAGACCTGTTTTGCAGAAAACTATTCCTGATATAATTTAGGAATAACTCTAAACACTCTAAATGCTCTGATTGCCCTTCTCAGCTGTTCTGAGACAGCTGAATACAATATACAATACACACTGTAATGGTAGCTATTCCAAAGCTTCTGCAAATGCACTTGTCTGTTTTGGCTTTGTGGAGTCCATGTTAGCAGTTATCCAATGAGTTTATGGCATTGGTAATATTGGACTCTCAGTGAAATACCATAGTCTTAAAAGTGAATGAGTTGTTAGTAAGAGCTTGCAGCTAGCATTCAGGGTGGAAAAAATAAACAAGAAAATTAATCCATTAGACTTCTGGATTTTTTTGGTGAAGCTTGTGCCCATGGTTCAAGCAGAGCTGGGAGGTTCAGAGTTCCTCTTATGACTCTTAGGGAAATGCAAGAGAACTGAAAAG